CAAAGAGGGATAGAGACAGAGACAGAGACAAAGAGGGATAGAGACAGAGAGACAGAGACAGAGACAAAGAGGGATAGAGACAGAGAGGGTTAGAGACAGAGAGAAACAGAGACAAACGGGCATAGAGAGGGAGTGAGATGGAGCCCCACCTGGCCTGGCCTTGGCCCTTGCTGCCTGGAGCTCGCTCCTGTGATGGTGAGCGAGGGTCCCAGTGTCCAGCCCCTGGGCAGCTCTGCAGGAGTCTCCTGCTGTCGCGCCAGTGTCACAGGCAGCAGGCACAGTGGGGGAAGCTCAGGTTTGTTGTTCGATCAGCAGGCATTTGTGGAGCTCCACAGTGTGTCCCGATTTGCCTGCTGGGAGCTGAGAGGGCGACTGTCACTGGGAAGAGAGTGAGGAGGCTCTGGAGGGCGCGTGTTGTCCCCGCTCTGCGGGGTTCAGGGGAGCCTGGAGCCAAGGCCAGTCCCTCCCTTTCCAGCAGCAAGATGCTGTTCCTCCACCAGGCTGTGCCTGCGCCAGTCAAGGTTCTCCAGAGAAGCAGGACCAACCAATAGGACAAACGTGCACACACGTGCACATGCATATGCGCACACACACATGCAAGTGCACACACATGTGCACACACGCACACATGAACACATGCACACACATGGACACAGTGCACATGTGCGCACACATGTGTGCACACACATGCACGCACACACGTGCACACACACATGCTCACACGGACACAATGCACACGTGTGCACACACGTGCACTCACACATGCTCACACGGACACAATGCACACGTGTACACACACATGCACACACGGACACAATGCACACTTGTACACACACATGCACACACGGACACAATGCACACTTGTACACACACATGCACACATGCGCACATGCATACATAGGCACACATGCACATGCATGCACATGCAGACACGCGCACACACACGAGCACGACAAACATATGTATATGTGTATGTCTCTGTACACATATCCTTCTGATTCCGTTCTCTCTGCAGACAGTGTGTGTGTATACAGGGAGGGAGCGGGAGAGAGAGAAGCTAATTTATTTTAAGGAACTGGCTCATGTGATTGTTGGAGGCTGGCAAGTGTGGGATCTGCAGGGCAGGCCGGCAGGCTGGAGACCAAGGGAAGAGTTCTGCATCCAAGTGCCATCTGGAGGCAGAGTTCCTTCCTCCATAGGGGACCTCAGTCTTCCTCTCTTAGCCTCTGAGTCCTTCAACGTACTGGATGAGGCCCACCCACGTGTGAAGTTCATCTGCTTTACTCAGTCTGCTGATGTAAATCAATCAATCCCTCCCGCTCTCCCTTCTTCCCTTTCTCCCTTCCTTCATCTCACTGTCATGCAGGCTGGAATGCAGAGCTATGATCAGGGCTCACTGCAGCCTCGACCTCACGGGCTCGGGTGGATCCTCTGGCTCCAGCCTCCAGAGTGTCTGGGACTGCAGATGCATACAACCACAGCCAGATCCTGTTTGTATTTTTTTGTGGAGTCTGGGTCTCATTATGTTGCCCAGGCTGGTCTCGAACTGCTGGGCTCCTGCAGTCCACCTGCCTCTGCCTCCCAAAGTGCTGGGGTCACAGGTGTGCGCCACCATGCCTGGCCTGAGTGTGGCTGTCATCTTAAGAATGTCTTCACGGTGACATCTAGACTGGTTTGGCCGTACAGCGGGGCACTGTGGCCGGGCTCAGAAGGGTGTGCCCATGAGCAGAGGTGATGGCATCTGCTGTCCCACTGCTAGGCATGCGGAGGTTTAGGGGGACTGTGCTAATTTTGAGAAACAAGCGTCTTTGTCTTCTAGTGTCGCTGCAAGAATTGTTCTCGTGGTGTCTGAGGTTAAGTACCAGGAAGTACTTCCTCCTCATTGTGATTTGAGGTGGAGGGTGGAAGGTTACAGCAGGGTATTTAGGTAATGAATGTACAAATAAAGGTCCTTTTGCTGACCTGACCGAGGCCGAGGTAACCCCAGATCCTTTACCAAACATTGCTAAACACCCGCCACTCATGCTGCAAACGCTGAGTTCAAGCCCGAGTGCCCGAATGGTGAATTCAGGGGAGTCAGGAACAGAGAATGATGATCTAGACCTTTTCACACGGCGTTTGCTTAGACCAGGTGTTGGCAGGCGTTTTCTTTAAAGGCCAGAGAGTCAATATGGAGACTTTGCAGCACGAAAGCAGCTATGGACATGGCGTCACAGGCAATTGCGGCTGTGTCCCCACAGGAGTTTCTTTACAAGAGCAAATGGCTGCTGGGGTTTGGCCTGGGGCCCTGGTTTGCTAACCCCTGGCTTCGAGGGCCTCTGGCTTGGCATGGGGTGGGAACAGCATCCGCAAGCCTGGGTCTCTGCGTCTGGGAGATGGGATAGATAACAGTGCCATCACGTTAAAGATACAGGGATTGACTCAGAGTCTTCAGCACAGAACATGGCATGCAGTGTCCAAGCAGCGAGTTGCTGCTGTTGTTACGGATGAGGCTGAGTGTTAGATCCTCCCTGACACAAAAGGAAACTGAGGCCAATGACACCCTGGAGCCTCCTCCCACCTGCGTCTAATGCTGCCTAAAAGAGCTTTCTAATCTAGGGATTAGAAAGACAGCCAGGGGCCGGGAGCGGTGGCTCACGCCTATAATCCCAAGACTTTGGGAGGCAAAGGCAGGCGATCATGAGGTCAGGTGATCAAGACCACCCTGGCTAATACAGTGAAACCCCATCTCTACTAAAAATACAAAAAATTAGCCAGACATGGTGGCGGGTGCCTATAATCCCAGCTACTTGGTAGGCTGAGGCAGGAGAATCGCTTGAACCTGGGAGGCGGAGGTTGCAGTGAGCTGAGATCGTGCCACTGCACTCCAGACGGGTGACAGAGCGAGACTCCATCTTAAAAAAAAAAAGAAAGACAGGCAGGGCAGAGAGGGGCTGAGCTGGGCACCTGGCCCTAGGATGCCCTTCTGCCAGCCTCTGTAGGTGAGTCTTCCTCAGTGGTGTCTTCATTTATCTCCAGAACGAACTAGCACTTGGGGACGGAGTATCGTCATATGTGATGCAGGTGGCTGTAAGGGAATCTGAGACTGACCTTCCCTGTGGCTGACTTGTATTCTCCGGACTGCAGAGTATCGTCATATGTGATGCAGGTGGCTGTAAGGGAATCTGAGACTGACCTTCCCTGTGGCTGACTTGTATTCTCCGGACTGCAGATTTTCTAATATAAATAGGAGTAAACAGTTGGAGCTCTGTATCCACAGGTTACCCATCTTCAGATTTAACTAACCTTGGGTTGAACATACTCAAAATAGTAACAATAAAGAGTATGATAAAAATAACACAGCCAGGCCAGGTTGGTGGCTGGCGCCTGTATCCCAGCACTTTGGGAGGCTGAGGCCGTCAGATCATGAGATCAGGAGTTCGAGACCAGCCTGACCCACATGTTGAAACACCGTCTCTACTAAAAATACAAAAAAATTAGCTGGGCGTGGTGACACACACCTGTAATCCCAGCTACCCATGAGGCTGAGGCAGGGGAATTGCTTGAATCTGGGAGGCAGAGGTTGCAGTGAGCTAAGATCATATCACTGCACTCCAGCCCGGGCAACAGAGCGAGACTCTGTCTCAAAAAAAAAAAAAAAAATTACAACTTTAACAACACAATATAACAATATAATTTCTACAGCATTTACATTGCATCAGGTATTATAAGGAACCTCGGGATAATGTGAGGTGTACACAGGGATGTGTGTAGGGTACACGCAAACTCTACACCATCCCTGGGTTTTGACATCCAAGGGGCATCCTGGAACCAATCCTCAGCAGGTCCCGGGGGACCCATACATTGTTTTATGTCACCTGTGAGGTTGAACTACCAGAAGTACCTTTTGCAACAGTCACCTGCTCTCTGGTGGCTGCCCACAGGGCTGCCTCCTGCACCAGGTTCTGCCCAAGGAGGGTGGTGACTATGAGAGTGGCTGTCTTGGTCTCCAGGGGTCTTGCTGTTCAGAGTCTGCTGGTGACACTTCATCCACCTCATTTGACCGGGTCCCTGGGCCCTGCAGCATGAGGGACCCCTGCCCTACCCCGACACTGCACAAGGAAGGAAGCCGGGTGATTTGACTCCTGACCGGGTGGAAACTGTGCCTGCCCCTCTCCACTGCCCACGGCCCACTGCCCACGGCCCACTGCCCACTGCCCACGGCCCACAGCCCTGGGTCCTGGGAGCGCTGGTGTGAGAACAGTCTCAGCATATTCTAGAAAGAAGAACGCCTTACCTTTCCCAAAGCCCCTGTCTCTCTGGTGGGTGCTCATGGCAGCTTGGTGCTGGCCAGGTGGGTCATGTTTGCTGCAAATTAAGACTTTTGTGATTGAGTCACAGGTTTTTTTTTTTTTTTTCTCCCTGTGGAGCCTTGAATCTCAGACTTCAAAGAGATATTAGGATGTTAAGACTTTATTTCTTAGAGCAGTTTTGGTTCACACAAAATTGGGAGGAAGGGCCAGAGATTTCCCACACAGACCTCCCTGCACGCACAGCCTCCTGTGCTGCTAGCATCTCCCCAGGGCAGCGTGTCTGCCCACTGAGGAGCCCGGGTGACCAGCGTCTCACAGGCTGGGGTCGGGTAGGCGTGGGGCGCTCTCCTGCTGTGGCACGTCCTCTGGGTTTGCACAAATGTGAAATGTCAGGTGTCTGTCACCTTCAGGAGAGAAGAGCCTCCCTGTCCTGAAAGTCCTGTACTCCACCTGCTCCTCCTCCTCCCCCTCGAAGGCTGACCCATGGCACCAGCCACTGGCGTCACGGCGGAGCCCCATCAGCGTGTCACATGGCACAGCCACACCGCATACGCCTCCTTGGGGTGGCTTTCAGCATTTGCTCTGCATCTGAGCTTCCTCCAGGTTCCTCAGTTTCCAGCGCTGAATCGCATCCCACTGTCTGGTCCTGCAGGCAGGAAAGCAAGGCCTGAGCCAGGGGGTGACCTGCGCAGGGACACAGTCAGCCCTGGGCCCCGGAGCCGGCAGCCGGGTGAGGACCTTGGGGGAATCACGGCACCTCAAGGCCTCAGCTCCAAATCGTGCCGCGTGGAGCCCGAGGACTCCTACACTGACACCGCAGGCTGTGAGCCCTGCTGAGACCGGCAGCGTCCCCACTTCCATAGGGTCCTCTTGATGACGGCAGGCAAACCCCAAGTTGCGACTTAGCCTGGGAGGTTCTGGGCTTCACCCAGGAAAGAATCCAAGGGCAAGCCAGTGGCATTAGACAATAGCTCTTATGGAAGCGTTGATGCCCAGCAGCAGCAGAGGCACAGCTCCGGGCAGAGCCGGACTCCCTACAGGCCACGCGAGCAGCAGCTCAGAGGCAAGGCTCACTCACACTCACACCCACTTCTGCTTACACGGAAACTACAGGGGAGATTATGCAGCTGTTTCTAGAAAAGGGTGGTAACTCTGGGGTGGTCAGGTTGTTGCCATGGAAAGGAGTGGTACCTCCCAGTGTTGCCATGGCAATAGAAAACTGACCCGCAGGCTGGTGAGCGTGTCTCATGGGAAGCCGCTTTCCTTGTCCCTGTTTTAGTTGGTGCTCAATTTGGTCCAGTATCTGAGTCCCACTCCCCCACCGACTCAAGTCCTCCCTCCTACCTGACTCTGAGCCACCAGGCTGCCACGGATGTGGTAGCTTAAACCATACATGTGTGTGTCAGTTCCAGAGGCTAGAATCCAAGGCCATGGTGTCTCACAGCTGATCCCTCCTGAGGCCTCTCCCCTGGGCCTGCCAACAGCTGCTCCCCCGTGTGGTCACATGGCCGTCCTTCTGTGTGTGCCCCTCTGGGTGCAGTATCCATTTCTCTGTGAGGATGCTGATCTGCCTGGATGAAGGCCCATCCACATGACTTCATTTTCACTCGAAAACTTCTTCTGTAAAAGCCCTCTCTCAAAACACAGGAACTGAGGTGCTAGGGTCAGGACTTGTGCATATGCCTCGGGGGAGCGTGATTCCGCTCATAGCAAGGGCAACACCAGGTCCTCTGCTGAGCCTGGAACACAGTGAGCTCCCTGGACTCCCACATCCCACAACCCACCTTGCCTCTCAGGACCATCGGGCCCCGACCGTGAGGGCGACAGGCTGGGCAGAGCCTGGGCTGACTTCGGTGGCCCTGAAAGGCCATGTTCAGGTGGGCCCTGCCCTTCACCCCGGGTCCCCCGGTAGCCTCCCCAGGCATTGCCAGCCCCGGCCCTGGCCCTGGGGACCCTGACACAGGAGCCCCGGATGATGTTTCGGGTTTTGCTGGTTGGCTTGTCACCAGAGAGGTGTCTGTGAGGTGGCAGCCATAACTGGAGCGGTCAGTGGCCACAGAATGAGGTGAAAGTTTCAGGAAGAGCCTGCACAGCCAGCCTGGTCCCACGGCACTCACTGTTGCGGCCAGCAGTGGCCCAGGCTCCTGCGGGCGGTGACTTCCCTCTTGAGTTTACTTTGGGGATGTGCAGGTCACCTCAGTCCTAGGCCCTGGCCTCCACAGCAGTGGAGGGTGCTTCTGTTATTTTCCTCTCTAGGATAATTGTCTAACTTTTCCAGGCTATATAGCAACACATGGTGGTAAATATTTTTAAAAACATAGAAACACATAATTTAGAAAGAAGCATCTCTTGTAGTTTCCAGGGAAACCAGGTTAACAGGTAAAGCTGGGTGGTTGACTCGAAGCTGATCAGTCGGTGCTGGATTAGAGACGTGTCTATTTTTACTGATTGACTGAGCCAGGGCCTCACTGCCCTCACCCACCCTGGGGTGCAGCGGCACGTTCACAGCTCACTGCAGCCTTGAACTCCCAGGTTGAAGCAGTCTTGCTACCTCGGCCTCCTGAGGCTCTAACTACATGCAGGCACCACCACACCCAGCCAATGTTTCTTTCTGTGGTGATGAGGTCTCATGTTGTCCAGGCTTGTCTTGAATTTCTGGCCTCAAGCAATCCTCCTCCCTCCGCCTCCCAAATCGCTGAGATTACCGGCTTGAGCCCACATCCAACCCCGACAGCTCTAGTTTTTAAGCGATTTACTCTGCGGCTGAGAGGGCGCCTCGGTTGCAGAGGATGGGAGTGGGGATACATGTTGCTATACTGCTTTCCCAAAGGGCATGCCCGGAGCATGTACCAGTTTTGAACATTCCTGCACGTTGGAAAACCGTTTTAGTAAGTTTGACACCTGTTCGCCTGTGAAGATGCTTGTTGCGCTGTCAGCTGAGGAAAGCCCCGTCCGCGGCATCAGCTGGAGGAGAGCCCCGCCCGCGGCATCAGCTGGAG